AAATGAAGCAGTCACTTAAATCCCAGGATCCCTCACCTGAAAATAAACATCAGTAAAATGAAGACCTGCACTTCTCCTTGCCTTGAGCTGCTGGTCCAGAATATATTGTGATGGAGGAGAAGAAAATCCCTTCTGGGCCCTTACAGATGGCCAACAGCAGGACTAAAGCAAGGGGCCAGTTCGTGGAACATGCAGAGATAGCAGTAATCAGAGCAGCTGGCAGAGGACAAGCTAATGTTGTGCAGTGAGATTATATTTGCACTTTGTCACTATGAAAGCACATCTGGACACATTTCCCTGACCCCAACCATCTGAAGACAGATGGTGAATGAAAATGTTTTCTTACCAGTTCTTGTAAATTCCTATCCTCTTTCGCTCACACACAGGAACTTGTTATTCCAGGGCAGTGATAATGTTCCCCCCCTTTATGTTCTGCAAAATATTCACTGTAAACTTCCACATAAGTCGACAAAAGGCCAGTCCTGGGCCTTGAAACCTTTGTTAGTACCTCACAATGAACACAGCCCACTTTGGGAGATCAAGAGGCCTGAGCACAGCGCTGCTGTACCTTAAAGAAGTGAAAGTATAATTTACCCACAAACGAAAGGGCTAAAGTAGCAAGGAGAGCTGTAAACAAGACAGAGGAGGAACACCTCTTTAGTTCACCTACACCCTTTCACTGCACCAAACTTTGCATTTATTCAAATAAGTTGTTTTTGTTAGAAAAACAATGCAGAACTTATTGTCATCTTGGTACATTTACCACTGTTCGTGTTTCAGTTTAAAAGAAACATCAAACCCTTAACCCTTAGAAGTCCATTGGGACATTGCAAATATGGCTGTTTGTTAAAGTTGAACTCTAAGCAGCATTCCAACAGCAAACCCTGCATGTCTGTATGTAAAGAGCACAGCAGATCACCAATACTCCTATTTTCTTTTAGAAAAAGAAATCTTCAAACCAAGATGATTATATTAAGTTGCTTACAGGAAAGATAGGTCGAGTTTTGGTTTTGTTCCTTTTTTTTTCCCAGATTATATTGACCTCTATATTGCCTGTGTATTGCTGAAGAACAATTAGCTGAGATGAGTGGAAATCTCAGAAACACAGATTAAAAAAATAAATGCATGCAAACACTATGGCCAGGCAGCCATTCTATTTTTATTTGATGACAGCAAATCTGTTCCTACATGCTAATCAATTACAGAGCAGCTACATTTAATCTCAGCCTTAATTTACTACATTGAACATCTTTAGTGTATTCCACTTAGCTGTAGAAGGCAAACAGAAAATATATTTTTAAAAATTTCCTAGACTAAATAAACAAGGGTCTTATCAAAAACTGAATACAGTAGAACTGCAATAAACCAGGTGGTAGTTTGATCACCTGAAACACATAAGAACGATCTTGTTGCTAACTGGTGAGACTGTCCCCTAAGAAAACAGGGTGCCAAGTTATCAGCAGGTTTCTTGTTTTAAGTGAATGCTTGGGCATACTAAGAACAAGATTTCAGCTATTCATTTTCATGTTTTCAAATACAGCAGACATTTAGTCATGCTGTTCTTGCTTTGAACTCGGTCTGTGGCTTATCATCTCTTCGTTATCAGCCAATTCAGAAACAGACTAGAATCAGCTCAGTAACATTTCTGCACTTGAGTCGTTCATCTAAGTCTTCCTTTTGCCGGAGCTTCCTGCCACACGCAGTTATTAAAAATTTTATTCCCCCTTCTTATATTCTGAAACTTGTTCATCAATTTGCCTAGCATGTTTGGCTTCCCCCCAGTGTCTGCGCTGAACAGACAGTTAAGTACTCAGGGAAAACTGCATTCTCTTTAAAACAAAACGACGACAGAAAAGGACAGCGTGCTCTGAACAACTGTGAGCTGCGGGTGTTGGGAAGAGTTTAGACTCCAGATGCTTTAGGGTCTCCTTCCCGCAGGCACAGAACTGCCACCTGCGACCAAGGCAAGGAAAGGATCGAGACGTGGGTAACCAGGGCAAGCAGACGGGACAGATGTCACATAGCGCGACATCCGTCAGCTTGTTTGTCTAAGAACTAAGACACCCTTTCTCCTTCTAACAGCGGCGTGAAGAACAAGCACCTCAGCGCTGGCGAGGTCCCGAAGTTCCTTTTCCTCACTGTCACTGCCTCCCCCTCGGCTCAGCCTGTCCCTGTAGCGCTACTCCAACCCCATGGCGGGGCTCACCTCTTCTCCCTGCACCTCTCCTCCGGCCTTGGGGCACTTCCCAAGAGTCCTGCCCCACGCACCAGCCTGCGACACTCTTATTTCACCGCTTTCCCAAGCACTATTCACCTACGATAACCCTACAGCGCAACTCTCCCTCCTCCCCTCTCCAACACTCCCGACCCATCCCAGCGCTATCCCCGTCCGAGGCCACTCCGGCACGGTCCCTTCCCCACACACGACCCCCGGGATGCTGCAGCCCTTTTCCCACGCACTGCCCCCTCCCCAACACCCCCAGCTGCTGATTCCTACCCTAAACACAATCGTGTTCTCCCGCAGCACCCCGGACACGGCTCCCTTCTCCCCTGAGGCGCGGACCCCCGCCCAGCACCCCCACACCGAGCCGAGCCCCCTCCCCAGCACGTCCCGCTGAGACCACGGAGCCCCAGCCCGGTCCCAGACACCGACTGCCATCCCAGTCCCTGACACTCCCATAATCAGACCCAGGCACTGATTCCCGACACTCCTCAGCCCCCTCACGCACTGACCCCACCTCAGCCGCCCCGCACCGACCCCCCTCAGGTACCCCAGCCCCCACAGCCATCCCAGTCCCGGACACTCTCCCCAGCCAGCCCCAGGCACGACCCTCACCGCAGACACCGACCCCGCACTCTCCCTTCAGCCCCGTCACCGCCCTACCCCGCTCACCTGCTGCCGGGCCGGGCCTCTCCGCTGCCCTCAGCGTCCGGCTCTCCGGGCGCTGCAGGGGCCACGCCGCCCTCATCATCCTCCACCGTCACGTCCGCGGAACCAGCGGGCAGAGCGGCGGGAGCGGCAGCCGCCCCCAGCCCGAACGCGGCCTCCACAGCCGCGGCATCGCTCGGCGGCGGCTCCGGGCCGCCCGCCGCTACCCCGAGCAGCACCAACAACGCGAAGGCGGCCAGAGCGCTGCGGCCCCGCGGCCCCCGCATGGAGGGGCCCGGCTCGCCCGCCGCCGCCACCCGTTAGGACATGAACGCCGCTCTCGTTGCCGCCGCCGTCGCCGCCACAGAATGGGCGCCCGCCGCGCGCGCAGCCCTGCCCGCCGCGCCACGCCCGCCCCGCCACGTACCGGCACCCCGCGCGCACCCGCCCCTGCCAGGCGGACGCGCACCCCATTGGCCGCCCGCCACGCCGCTCAACCCGCCGCTTCCTCGCGATTGGCGCGCCCGGCGGCGGGGGGCGGGGAGAAGCTGGGTGTTTGTCAACAGAGCCCGCCGGGCCAATCGGAGCCACGCCGCTCTCTCCCCCTCCTCTACCGCCGCGCCGGCCAATCGCCGAGCGCATGATTCACCGGCCCGCTCGCCGATTGGCTGCCGGCTGGCGCGCGGGCGGCGCGGCCCCGCCCCTTCCTCGGCCGGGCTGGAGACGTGGCTGTTCCTCGGCGCCGGCAGGGCGGGGCCAGCGGCGCGCACCACCCGGCGCAGGGGGGGGGGGGCACAAAGTGGCTCCCCCCGGGCCGGGGCGGAATGGAGGCGTCGGGCGGGAAGCGCGCTGTGAGGGAGCGAGCTGAGGGCAGGGCATTTAGAGACTTTGGAAGAGCTAAGATTTTAGTTAGAAATAAGCCTTACTAGAGTTAATTAAAATAATAATAATAAATGAGTAGGCCTTGATAAAGTTAGGAGTTAGTAGTTAACTAATAATTGATTGCTTGTCAGCACAATGTTTAGTTAGCTGGGTTTATAATGAAGAATATAGAAACTGACAAACAGCTTTTAGGAACATAAGACAATTGTGGGCTTCCTCTGTTCTGAAACCAATTGAAGACAAGGAATGGGAGTTCTACCAAGAGTTCATTTGTCATACTTGCATTGAAAAGGTAGAAAGGTCAGAAGGAGGAAGACTTCATTTACTTCCTCATTTTGGGACCCCTCCCCATGAAAGGGACACCGACCCATTTCAAGGGACAAACTATGCATGCTTAATAGCTTTTGGAGTGATTAGCATATGAAGCAGGGAATGGGATGTACTAAAATTATGAACATGTATTTGTATTTTGTGTATTCAATACTTGTATGGATAAAAAGACTCTGTAATCACCTGGAAGGTGCGGTGTGTATTTGGGAGCTGTCCCACACACAATAAACACACACTTTCTAACTTTAAACTGTTCAAGAGTTTTTGTCCGTCACAGTTGGATATCGATACTAGATCAATATCCATATTTTTTAAATAAATCACCACCTTTCTGCGGCTTTCTGTGCGCCTCCACCCCAGCACTTAGGCCCGGTGTCTTTGCAACCCCAGAAAGCCCCTGTGGTACCTTAAACTCCTGTTCCCTCCATGTGTTCACAGATCTGTCCGGGAAAATTGTGACTGCCCCGTCCTGGAAGTGTTCCAGGCCAGGCTGGATGGGGCTCAGAGGAACCTGCTCTAGTGGAAGGTGTCCCTGCCCATGGCAGGGGGTGGAACGAGATGATCTTGGAGATCCCTTCCAGCCTGACTCATCCTGTGAGTCTCTTTTTATTGTATACTTGATATAAATGATACATATGATATATAATTGCTGCCTTCAGAGTTAGTTTTCCCCCAGTTTTTTCCTTACCCAGTTTACCATATTTTGAATTCCTCTGTCATCCTCATGGTACCACCCAGCTGATGAAGATGTAATCTGCAAACTGGATTAGGGCTGATTTTGTATTTATTTCCATATGACTAATGAAAATATTGATTACATATGTGTGTGGCACATATGATCCTGGAGGGTCCTATTAGAAGCAGCCTTATTCAACAGTGATTTATAACCACATATAAAAAATAATTTCTGTGACCAGTGTTTAATGTATTCTTCACTGATGCTTTATTACCCTGTTTAATTAAAATATTGTGCAGTTCTAAGTAAAAGTGCTTATAAAAGTTTATTACAGCTTTCCTTCCTTTTGGAGGAAATTGAATTATTTGTTGTCTTTTTAAAAGCATGAAATGAGATTTCTATTGGACCTCTGACTTGCATTACTAATTCTTTAATGAGTGACATAACACCCTTTTTTGGTATTTATCCAGGACATTATCCATAGACCTGGTGTTATTAAATCCACATTTCCTCCATTTCATGCAGCCTCCTTTCCTGAAGACAGGCACCAACCTGGCACTTTTTGAGCCTCCTAGAATTGCCCTGGTCAATCAAGGTTCACTAACGAGGAACATCAACACACAAGGGGTCTCTGCATTCAGCTGTTTCCAACCTCCTGGGCTGCAGTTATCCCTGGAAGAAAAGAGCTCCACTGGTCACTAATGCACTGAAATGAATCACATCACTGTCAAGTGACCCCCACACATGTATGTATCTTCCTGCTTCTTTACAAACACAGATCATAAATGTTCAGTGAGCACTTCAGCATTGTTATTGACATTTTAATCATGGCCATCTAGTAATGGGCCTGTACCATTCACTTCTGGGCTTTTCAGGGATTTAGCCTTGCCAGCTATGGATTTCCTTTCATGTGCTTCACTTCAAATAACTACTTTGCTTCTCACAGCTTCTCATTTGTACCAACACTTTCTTATTTCCTGCTTTCTCCATTTTGGCTATTTCTTTTTTAATTTTACTCACACTCTCCAGTCCATTAATAAAACAAGACCTGTCAATGTTTTTTCTCCCTTGAAGTTGTGGCTCTTTGATTGCCCAATGAATTCTTTAAAAAGTGCTCATAATTGTCATTTTTAGACTTATACCTAAATTTTTTCTTCCTACTTGCACTCTTATTTTCTGATGATTTGGAATTACAGCTCTTTTAGAGCACCAGGTGTATGCAAACCCAGGTCACAAACACTGCTCCCCAGCCAACCACTGAATTGCAATTGAGGGATCTTTGTTTGGGTTTTTTTACTTCATTATAACAAAGTCTAAAAGAATTTACCTTGTGCCACATGCCAAATGGCACATGTCATTTTTAGTAACTTAAATGACATTTTATTACTGTACCCATATGGTCTTGTGCTACTATTTTCTTTATTTAGATAACTCCTCTCTCTCGAGTGTCTATCCGTTCATATGTTCATAAAGAGTAATCAAATTCCTTGTTTCTCTAGGCAAACCAAGCCAAAGGCTTTTATTCTTCCCTTACACATTTGGCTCTCTGCTCTAACTTGCCCTCCCCTGCACCTGTCTCCATTTAAATTCATTTTTTCTTGCATGGTGATGTTTTGAACACTCACGTTGAAGGGTAAATTTAAATTTTTTAAATTTTAAACTCCATTATATTCCTAGGCAATGAAGAAAAGCTGATTCCTTGCCATGCTTTTTTGCAGCAACATATCTCTTGCCCCAGAGTTATTTGAGGGGCTCAGAGACATAACCACAGGCCCCAGAAAGGTCCAGAATATCGGGATATGTCACGACTAGACTTGCACTTCTACCTTTGTGCTGGGTTTATTCACTTCAGGCAGAACAACCACCACCCCCTGCAAGCGTCCCTCTCGCACCCATGAGCATGACCTCATTTTCTCCTGTCCCCTCCCAAGATCAGCAGCCTTCCAATCGCAGCCTTTTATTTTGGGGAGGATCTGGCACTTCTCACCAGAGTGCACGTTTCCTTCAAGACTCCTCCTAGATTCTGTGGCACCGAGGAATAATGAATAATAATCAGAATGCAAAAGCTCTTATTTTTCTTGTTTTGGAAACATATCTCCAAGGGATGGACAACGTTATTCTCGAATCCTTATGACAAACATGGCAATGCAGCCCTATAATTTTCTCTCTGTATTAAAAATTTGTGCCAACAAAACCAAACTTCCTGCTTTTTGCAAAGCATGACTCACATCCTCCATTCTGTTTTGACTGACTGACATAAGAGATCTATTTCAGTCATATGACAATAACTTTGAATCTGACTAGCCACTTATGTGGAAATCAAAGCCTGTTCTTGCAGGATGGATGGATGGATGTTAACAGGAATGGTGTTTTACATAACTCCACTGAAGATCTGCCTGCTTTTCCCGAATAACTTGCTCCTGGAAGAGCGAGGTGCAGCAGTGAAAGACCAGCGTGCCACCTCGTGGCTGCCCTGTGCCCAGGGCTGCTCTTAGCACCTCCCAATTCCAGGAGAATCCAGACCTTCCAGAAGCTGCCTATGTTGTAATTAGCATACTGGCACCCCTGCTGATGCCTTCTCACAAGCAGAATAAAACCGAGTAATTCTTCACCTGACAGATCAAACCTGAGACAAGCAGGGAGGCAGGTGTTATTCTGAGGAAATGTCACTGAACTGGAGTTTGCAGGATAAAAAAATTAGGTCACAGGAATGTAAATTGCAGGGATGTGACAAGCTTGGAGTGCTGCTGCCAACCAGAAAGAGAGTTTGGGAAATTCTCCATCTTCCACTTGGTTTCACCACTGTGTTGGTGGAGTTTAACTTTCATGGGTCTTGGATTTCAGCTGTTTCATGCCTAATCAGTGAGAGAGGAGTAGTTAATTGGATCAACACATCTGCCACCCAGAGGGGCTGTGCCTTCACCAGGATTTCACTTGGGTTAGAATGCACTTTTCCAGCTGCTTTAGGCTGGGTTAAGCCTGCCATGGAAGATGGTCCCACAGCCATCCCTCTACAACTCATAGATCTTACTGCCTTCCTCAGGAAAGGTCAAGGAAAACTGACCTTGATTGTTTTGGTTTCTTTACCTTTCAGAAAGAGCAGTTCTCTGCCAACACATGGAAGTAGCAGGAAAAGTTGGCAAACGATGGACCATAAGGTGGGAATGCTCCTTTTTTTTTTTCTTTTTTTTTTTCCTATCTTAGACCAGAGCAGCTTAAGCCAGTTACAAAACTCCCTTTCAGAGAGATATATTAAGTTTGGCTGACCCACTTCTTCTTGCCACCTCACTCACCTGGCAAGAAGAAACTGCTTTTTCTTGCCAGCATGGCAAGGTGAATCAGCACAGGGTCATGGGAATGCCAGCACCAGCATAAACAGTACCCAGGCTGCGTGAGGATGGTGACTGAAGGCAGCGAAGAACAGGCTCTTGCCTTTTTGTCAACAGCAAGTTGTTATCTCAGCTACCATGTAATTTTCCTACCATGTAATTTCAGCCTCAGATGGAGAATTCAGCACCCGGAGTCACGCAGTCGCCCTGACGGCCTGAAAGGGCCGAGCTGCTCCTTCCTCAGCGGGGTTTTTGTTGGGGTTGACACCTCGCAGTTGCTGCTTGACAGGCAGAATGTCTGTTCAAAGCAGGTTCAAACACCTCCTTGCACTGAAGCACAGAGGGTGAGAGTTGGCTCCTGGAGAAGCTTTGACATGGACAAAACCAGGCTTGTACAGAAGGACTTTGAGCTGTTTGCAAACAGAACTGGTTGTTGCTGAAATTCACAGAAGATCCATTTCTAAAATGCCCACTACCAATTTCTTGTGCACAGGCAAGGCTCCGCACAGCATAAATGAAAGATTTTCTGCTTTTACTGGAGCTGTAACTCACCAACAGATTCAGATAAATTGCTAACAGAATGGTCATTATCTAGAAGTGGAAGTGTTTGTGCTTCCCCAGGCACTGCAAGATGTGTTTCAAGCCAAAGCTCTCAGCTGTTGCTGTGAGGGTACAACAGGTTTATCACCCCACACTTCTGCACTGATACTCCCCTCAACAGTGGGATGTGAGAGAAGCCCAGGCTGGGCTTCCTGAGTCAACATAAAACCCTGGTGACTGTTCTTCTATTCAGGCACATACTTAGGATCCTGAACAGAATAATCATAGAATCATGCAGTGGCCTGGGTTGGAAAAGACCTTAAAGACCATCTTGTTTCAGCCCCTGCTGTGGGCAGAGACACCTTTCACTAGACTAAGTTGCCCAGAGCTCCTTCCAACCTAGCTTTAAACCACTGAGGCAGCCACAGCTTCTCTGGGCAACCTGTTCCAGTGCTTCACCACCCTCACAGTAAATTTTTTCCCCTAATATTTAATCTAAACCTACTCTCAGTTTAAAGCCATTCCCCCTTGTCCTGTCACTACATACTCTTGTAATGCCTCCCAAAGCAAAGCTCCTTCAGTTTTACCCTTCTTGCACCATGGAAGAGGGCAGTGTTTGGGTCTGATTCCCTCGGAATAGATATCCCACTAGATGTGTGTATTTACACTTTAAAATTAGTAACTTGCAGGAAAAATCGTTGCCAACTGGCAGAAAACACTGAAGCGCTGCATAGAACCACGTGCTGCTCTTAACAGCGAGTCACCTGCTCTGTACAGAAAGGTAAGGCCTCACCGAGATGAGATAAGCCCGGGCAATGATAATAGAGTCTTTGTTGAAATCTCACCCCATTGTTCAAGGACTGACGTGCCGGCCCAGGGAGAACAAAAGGAAATGTTTCTAGTCCTTGAAAATCGCAGCAGAATCAGAGGTTGGCAGCAAAAGCAAGCCAGTCATACACAGAATCAAAAAAGAGAAGTCAGCGGCAGCTTTTCTGTTGAGCAAATAAAAAGATTATAAAAAGATTATTCTCAACGAATTGTGGACTGGCCTTGGGAGTGAGTAGTAAGGGGTAAATACCTGCAATTCTCATCCACCTTTGTGGGATTGCAGCTGGAGAGAAAGTGAGGTGCCTGTGAATGGTCCTAACGTGGCTCACAGGAGTGAAAACACCTCTGTAGAGGGACTTCAAGGTTGCTCTGCCTCCTGTTTCAGAAACAACTTCATCAGAGGTCAACCCAGGGTAGGGGGAAAAGCTATGACAAATAAAACGAGGCTCTGTGTGCTTCAGGAGAGGAGATCTCCCTGGGGTTTTGTCCTGACCCTCCTGCAGGGTGGGGTAAGGACTAAGTGCTGGTTTATACCATTGTGTCCAGAGGAGCTCTGGCATTTTTCATCTCCCTGTTGCTACTTTCGAGAGAGATCGTGCTAAAGTTTGAATGAAAGTCCAAGAAAGGCTCTTCCTCAAAACCTGTGGAGCCCGGCCAGAGTTCCAGTAACTCCCTGAGCTCAGTGCCTTGCCTGGCACCCTGCAGGGGCTCTCCCGCCATCCTCCCTCCTCCCCCAGCACTTCCCGCTGGGACACCTCTACTCCTTGCGGAAAGGCCTGAACCTTTCCAGCCTCGGCAAACCCGGTCTTTCGGTACTTAACATTTACTCGGTACTTACACATCGATGCAACAAGTTGCTCCGGGGATGTCGGGCATTGTGGGAGCTGTAGTTCGCCGCACGCAGCACTACAAGTCCCAGCCTCCCGGCGGAGGAGAAAGAGGAGGAGGAGGCGGAGGCGGAGGAGGAGAGGAGCCGGCACGGCCCAGGCCTGCAGCCCGTGAGGAAGAGCCCCCCGGGGGCGGGCCGCGCCGGCATGCGGCTCCCCGGCCGGCTCGCCCTGCTCCGGAGCACGCCCCTGGCTGCCCGGCCGCCAGGGAGGGTCCGAGCGGGGCGGGCGGCGGCGCGGCGCGGCTTCTCCCGCGGGCGGCTCGGCGGCACCATGGCCGAGGAGGCCAAGAAACGGGCCGCCTTCGCCGCCGTGGACAAGCACGTCCAGGTGAGGCGGCCCGGGGTGCTGCGGGGCGCGGGGGGCTCGGGGCGGCCGGAGCGCGGGGTGCGCGGAGCCTCCGGGAGCGCGGGCGGACCCCGAGGGCACGGAGGGGCTCCGGCTGCAGGGACCCCCCAAAGCACAGAGGGGCTGCAGGGACCCCCCCAAAGCACAGAGTGGCTGCAGGGACCCCCCAAAGCACAGAGGGGCTGCAGGGGGCTGGGGTCCCCCAGTGCGTGCAGTGACCGTGGAGTGCACGGAGCGGCTCCAGGGTGACGGGACCCCCAGTACACGGAGCGACCATGGGGTGCACGGAACTTCCCAGCGCATGGAGAGGCTCTGGAGTGCACGGAGCCCCCAGTACACAGAGAGATCCCGGAGTGCAGGGACAGGCTCCGGGGGACCGGGACCCCCGAATGCACGAAGGACCACGGGTTGCGTGGAGGACCCCAGTGCACGGACGGAGCTCAGGGTGCACGGAGCGACTGCGGGGTGTAGAGATCCCCCCAATCCCCGGACGGAGCTCAGGGTGCACGGAGCGACTGCGGGGTGTAGAGACCCCCCCAATCCCCGGACGGAGCTCAGGGTGCAGGGACCCCCTAAAGCACGGAGCGGCCGCATGGTGCACGGAGTCTCCGTGTCCCGGGCTGCGTGGAGCGGCTCCGGGAGCAGGGACAGGCTCTGGGTGCCGGGACTCTGGATGCTCGAAGGGGCCGTGAGTTGCACGGAGTCCCCCCGGTGCACGGAGCGACTCCGGGGTGTCAGGACGCCACAAAGCACAGGGCGGCCGCGGGTTTTTGCAGTGCATGGAGCGGCTCCGGTTTGCAGGGACAGGCTGTGGGGTGCCGGGACACCCCCCAGTACACGGAGCTTCCCAGTGCATGGACAGGCTCCGGGATGCACGGATCCCCCAGCACACAGAGTGGCTCTGGGGTGCCGGGACTCCCCAAAGCACGAAGCGACCACAGGGAGTGCAGAGTCCCCCGGTGCACGGACGGACCTTGGGACGCATGGAGCGATTCTGGGGTGCAGGGATACCCCAAAGCACAGGGCAGCCACGAATTCTCCCAGAGCACGGATGGCCCTGGGTTCATGGAGCCGCTCCGGGTGCAGGGACAGGCTTTGGGATGCTGGGACCCCACAAAACACAGGGGTGCACGGAGCCCTCCAGTGCACTGCCAGGGCTGTGTGAGGCAGCTCCAGGTGCAGAGACAGGCTCTGGAGTGCCAGGACTCCCCAGGGTATGGAATGTACTGAACTTCCCAGGGCACGAATGGGCTTCAGGCGGCACGGACTCCTGCAGTGCACAGAGCAGCCCCGAGGTTCATGGATGCAGTGGGGGGGAATTAGGAAACCACCCCCTCCCCCCGAGCATGAACAGTTCTGGGTACACGGATGGGTCTTCCTGAGTCTCTTTCCTTTGTTTTGGACTTCACTTCCTTTAGCTGAGGCGAAGGGAGAAAACTGCTTTTCCTTCCCCCGTGTGTGCCTCCCTAGCAGCAGCTTCATGCCTGATCCAGCTCAGCACTGTGTACGCCGAATTTGGGGTAATGTCTTGCACCTCCAAACTTTCACTGTGCACCCTCCTGCGAGCTGGGCTGCAGTGCGAGTTCAGGCTAATGCCATGTACTGCTTCTTTCTCCAAATCCAGGATGCGCTGCTGCTGCACCCCATTTCCGAGCACCCAAGCACGGAGCAACAGTCCCTGACCAGGGGATTCTGTCTTGTGCTGTGCAGGGAGGGAAATGCAGCCAGGGGCTTGAGTCAGCCCCATGAATGTCAGATAGGTTTGGAGCTGCCTGAAGTTTGGCACAGGCTGATCTGGAGCTCAGCGATCAGCGGTTACAGTCACGCAGGAGGTTATCGAAGCGCTTGCTGTGCCAGCCCTTTCGCAACAGCAGTGGTGAAATCGGGGTGAGGAGTTGCTGCTAAGAATGTAGATACTAGCAGTTAGTGAAGAAAAAAAATCCCTTTTCCTTCCTGCTTCCCTCTCGCTGGGTTAGTGTTTTGAGGTTCAGATGGCTTCCCTTATGTCCCATGGAAGTTTGGTTTGTTCTGCAGCCCCATTCCTCTGAGCAGTCTGTACCTGCCTGAGAGCACAGCCACATGCTGTGTGAGACCCAGCCCCTGCCAGCCAACTCCATCAAAAGTGATCAGTCTGTGAGATGGGGGAGCCTGGGGGCTCTGGTAGTTGCATAAACATCTCCTTTCTTACCCAAGGCAAACCCAAAATTGTGCATTGAGGGGTCGTGCAAGGCAGGACTCGTCTCAATGCAGGGAGCAAGACACCACTGTTGCTGTGAGGCATCATAAATAGGGGCTCCTTTGGTTTGGGTTAAGACCAGTACTTTTGGACTTTAATAGTGAAGTAGTTGGCCTTTGTGCTGTTCTGTGGTCAGGCAAACTGAGGATAATGTTTCTGCCTTTGTCGCAGCTAATTAAAGTTCAATGTCCAACTTGTGATGCCGGTTAGGTAAATTAGGCAATGTCTGTGTGCTTGTGCAAGCTGGCTTCAAGAAATGATGGAGAAGGAGGTCAGAGTCACTGCCGAGGAGCTGGATGGGCTCAGCTGTCAGTTTGCACTGGCAGGGGGCAGCTGCTGTTTGCAATGGATCCGTTTGTGTTGGCTTGTTAGAGCTCTCGGGAGGGAGCAATGTTATCTCTGAAAGGCTTCCCTTGCACAGCAGGGATGTGTGGGAGACACCAAGGGTTTGGTTCTCCTGGACAAATCTCTCTTGCTTAACTGTGCCATAAATCTGTGCTGCTGGGGGTTTGGGACTGGGACTGGATGAGGCTCCTCACTTGGCATCCACCTTCACACCCATCCCTGCCTTGCCAGGACAGCAGCTCCTGGGCGTGGGAGGAGGATTAGGAGAGGATAACTTGTTTTTCTGTTTCTTTTTTGTTGTAATTAAAGTTAGATTGGTGTGTTTACCCACAGCACTTGTCCCTGGGCAGCTGCAGGAGCAGAGTTCCCCGTTCTGGAGTGGACACTGAGATGAGCAGCCTCAGAGACCGGGGACAGTGGGGCTGTGACAGCCTGGGGCAGTGGGGCTGGCACAGGGCTGGGGCTTTAGAGCTGTAAGCTGCTTGGGGAGAGCTGGCTTTGCGTTTATACAACACCTCTGAGGGCGGGCCCTGCGAGCACCTCTGTTAGAAATGAAAATACAGCTACTGCCCTATGTCCTACTGCCCCAGAGAGGACTGAGCAGACTTTGGGCTTTGCTCTGTATTTATCTACTGCTTTTAGATGGAGCTCTTTGTTCTCTGACCTTGGAAACTTAGGTGGGACTGGCAAATGCCTGTGTACTGCTGGTACTGCTCCATCTGTGTTGCCTTATTGGCTTCTGTGGTGCTGGGCAGTGTCTTTAGGCCCTTGGGTTGGCTGAGAAAATGCAGTGGTCGCAGCCCACTTCAGTCATACTGGGGTCCTCAGCTGTGCTGTGGCTCAGTGCCTTGGTTTTGTTTGGTGGGCTTTTGGTAAACAACTTGAAATGTAATTTTTTTTTGCATGAGGTGCTGCTTGTCAGTGCTCTGCTTCTCACCAGTGTTTGCCCTGCCCCTGTTTTTAAAATGTTTTGTGGTTGGTTTTGCCCCTGGTCTGGCTGGGGTTGGAGCTGAGGAGGGAGAGGTGGGAGTCATGGTAAGACAGGGGCTGTGACAGCACCAGTTTAGACTGATTAAAAGTGCTGCTTCACCTCTGATCGCTGATAAATAGACGGGCTGGGACCTTTGTGTGCTCTTCCTGCTTGATTACAGTGGAGTTGCCTATGCTAAAGCTTTCCCCATCCCTTTAGGGTACCCAGCTGCTCCAAGAAGCTCCCACCCTACAGAAATGAGGGCAAAGAGAAGAAACTTCCTGGGTCAAAACAAGTCTTTTGGGAACACTGGTACTGCCCATGTCCTGTCAGCCTCTGCACAGCTTTGCTTGCCCCTTCCTTGGCTGGCCTTGCTTGGCTCTGCCTGCTGGCTGGGTGGCACGAGAGCCTCAGGAGCTGCTGGGTGTCTGCTGGCCACGTTGCAGGTGTGCAGCAGTGACCTGTTGCTCTGCCCAGCTTTTGGAGTCACAGTGGTTTAGTGAGGGCTGGGATGTAAGGTGAGCCTCTGGTTTTGGAGAATTTATGTTTTCTTTAAGCTTTTAACTTGCAGAAGCAAGAGAAATTATTAAACATAGGGGAGTGTGACCTGTCTTGAACTCCACTTTTCCAGGTAAACTTGTGTGACAGCAAGATTTTAGCTGGTTGAAGTGCTGCAGGTGTGACTTTTTCCACAGCTGCTGAGTTCTGGATTTGCTGCACATGAGGAAAGAGCTCCAGATCTATCTAATGTCCAAGAGATAATGCAAAACAGCTCTGTGCCTGCATCTCTGGTTGTCTTCACATCTTCCTCATCTGAAGTCTCTATGGTGCTGCTGGGCCTCTTTAAGTCAATTTAAGCTTTGGATCCCATCCAAAAAATACCAAAGTACG